ATAATAAATAATTATCTCTATGTTTTGTCATTGAAGCATCCACTTTATAAATATTTGTCACCTTTAGGTTTTCACTATCCCTTTAGATTATTTTTCAATCAGGTTTGAACCTTAAGTTCCCCTCTTAGTTTGAAGCCCTCTGGCAGACATCCCAGTCGGAGTTTTTAGTAAGTCCAAAAGGGTGTCTAAAGTTCGTCGAGGCGAATATACTTAGGTCACCCGAGCTGACCCTCACATACCGCCCTATCATCATGGTGACGGTTCTGTTCAGGAGAATTAAAGAAATAAACTGCCACATTCCAAATCTATTTGACAGAACAAAGTCTGTCGGGTCCGCTAGTTTTTAATAAAAAAATGGAGATTATTAATGTTGACAGGACATGTCTCAATTACTGTTTTGGAAAATTACGAGTTACGAAATTTCGTCTTGTAGATTTTGAAGATTAGGTTTTAGCAATGAAAACTCTACATCAACCGGTCAATGAAAGTGATAAATATTATTGATCTCATGAGAATAATTAAAAATGGTAAAAAGTAAAAATCGAGCAACGTCTATTTATTAACATCATTATAGAAACTGTCTTATTTGCGACAAAATGCAAAAATTGCATACGAAAGCGCACGTTTCATCTTTAAAGCTCATGATAATTTTTGTCGATAGGACATTCTGATCACAAGATATCGAATTTTTACCGTCGAGTGAAACCGAATTTTATTTAAAAAATTGATTTCGCGAGCGTAACTGATATTTATAATAGCGAGAGAACAGTTCATTCTGCACAAAAAGTGCTAATAAACATTTTTGTTCAAAATTATCTCAGCTACATGTCTTCTTTGTAACATTTTTTGAGGACGTACAGATTCCTGGTAAATCGATGTTTTCTGTTTACCCCCCCACCACCCTACAAGGGGGGTTTAGGGTCAATCCCAAGGGTAGGAGTGAAAAACTTTTTTACTTTTTTGGGGTCTCATCTCTCAATTCTCAGGAAAATTCTGCTTTTTCGCATGATTTTTAGAAATCATACGACGTTAAATCTCTCTGATGACTGCACTAATAGCAAAAAAATGCCTTCAACGCCAAGAACTACACTAGATCGATATAACAATTTTCTGTAATGATTAGTAACCTAATCGAGAGACGGCATCTTAAAAAAATAAATCTCAACTCTTTTTGCAGATTTTTTCGAGAAAATATTTTCTGCTTTCATCATACGTTTGATAAAATTTATCGATAAGTTATGAAATTGTGATAAGGGTATAAGATTCTACGAAAAGATAACTAAACCGTTATAAATATTTACATGTGATAAGTAGTTCTACGTATTGAACTTATACGTCACAGATATACTCTATCCATTCACTGATTAAAATCAAACAATGTTCTCTTGAATGTTTTCAAATAGTTTAGGAATTCCAAAATAAGTGAACGGAAATATGATTAAATACATGATTACGTTCATGGAGCCTAATTTGGAACCAAAGTTTTTTGGCATGGGTATCAACCACCCATCCAGTCTAAACAATTTCATTAAAAGAAAGAAAGGAGCATTATTGCAACAACAATTAATAGTATAGCTGGTAGGATACAGATGTGGGTTACTCGTTTTTTGACTAAGGATCCATCAGGATGTTAGGTCTTTTAGAGGAGCAAACATAGATAGTTATTACTATTTAGTTAAAGCACGATTTAAAGAAAGAATATCTAAAAAAGGAGATCGAGAAAAGAGAGAAAAAATCGACATTAAGAAACTAAAAGATTCCGATATTGCAAATGTATGCAGACAACAAATAGAGAATCAAATAAGGACATAAATCTTAGAAGAAGACATTAACCAACTATGGGCGAATATATGAGATATTGTGTTGCAGAAATCGGTTGAAATATTGGGCAAAAACCAAGTCAGAAAAAAGAAATCATTGGTTTGATCATCAGTGCAAAGTAGCCACAAATAGAAAGAATGCAGCGTATCAAAAAACCATCGACGCAGGTTGTACACTGAGAAAAAAGAAGAGTATAGACGTCTTAGAAGAGAGGAAAACGTATCCATCGACGTAAGAAGAGGGGATACGAACAGAACACTCTCAATGAGATACAAAGTTTATTCCATAAAAATGAAACGAGGAAATACTACAAATCTTTAAATTATAGTCGTCGAGAATTTAAACCACGATTAAAAATTTGTAAAAACACTAACGGTCAAATTCTACATGATAAAAACTCAGTTCTTAAGAGATGGGCACTACATTTCAGTGAACATCTAAATATAAACGATATTGAAGGAGGTTACAACATAGACAATCAACAAAATCTAAGTAAACTACACAGTGAGAGACCCAACAAGAGAAGAAATGTCAAATGCAATCCTAAAACTCAAAGACAATAAGTAATCCATAAACTAATAGTACTTATGTGACAGAATGAATTGGTACCAGGAGTAGCTAAAGGAAATAATATGTCCGTTGCTTAAAAAGGGTGATCAACTGGAGTGTAAGAATTATATAGGCTTTACTCTGTTAGCATATGTGTATAAAATATTCGGCAATGTATTGTTTGAAAGACTTAAAATTTTACAAAGGATATTGTTAGTCAATATCAAATCGGATTTACTGCTGGAAAGTAAACTTCACATCAAATTCAAGCACATAGGCAGATTCTAGAAAAATCACTAAAATATAACAGATACACACCATCTCTTCGTCGACTTCAAATCAGCCTATGACAGTGTGAAAAGAACTGCATTATATGATGCAATGATATACTTTGGGATCCCACCTAATTGACCAAACTAACAATGCAAAACTTGCTCATGCGTTAGAATTAAAGGAGAAAACTTCTCTACGTTCTTTGACATTAATAATGGTCTAAGGCAGGGGATGCGCTGGTGCCTCTCTTCTTTAATATTGCCTTGGAAAATTAAATCAGATAATTAAATATTGGAATAAAGAACTATTTTTAATAGATCAACGCAAATTCTCGCATTCGCTGACGATATAGTTACGGTGGGCAAAAGTATGAAAGACATGGTGCAGTGTTTTACCAGGCATGCGGACGCGGCAAGTGAATTGGGACTAGTGGTAAACTACAAATACACTTTTGAAAACAGTAGAGGACAAAGATCTATGATAGACTATATTCTGTCGAATAGAGAGTTACAGCCCTCTCAAATATTGGATGTAAGAGCAGTAACATCAGCAGAAATAAGATGCGCTCATAAATTGGTATTGTGCAAAATCAGAATGAAAACACATATATGTAATAGCAAAACACCAGAATACACCACAAAGATAAAAGTCGAAAGCGTACAGGATGACTACACAAGATACCTATTGCAAAAAAGAATAACCGAAGAAAGCTGGGCAAAAATTAAGTCTAAGTTGGCGCCTCAGCCAACCAAGTTCTTGGTGAAAGAAATATAAATAAAATAAATCGTTCCCAAGGCGAAGAACTCAATGTTTCTGTACAAAAGTGAAGAAAAAATGTAAAGGAAAGAAAAAAGCTTACCTGAAATACATGTCAATCTAAACACAAGAGGTATACCATAATTACAAGACAAATAGAAACAAAACGCATGCACTTGTAAGAAAAATAAAAAAGGATCACTTTTGCGTAAGAAATGGAACATGATTTTTACGGTCTGCAAAAGTAAATATGGCGCTTTATAAAAGGTCAAAGAACGGAGGAAAACCTGAAGAACAGAAAAGTAGCAGGTAAAGACGGGATACCAAACGAATTACTGAAATATTGTGGAGCAGCAATGACAGAATAATTATTAACGGCATTAATTAATAAAATTATAAAACACTAACATTGATTTAAAGCTATTAATATAGGTGTCCCGGAAATTATTTTGATGTGATATATGTTAATATATATACATGTTACATGTTAACATAATATGTTGATATGAATATATGAAAGTGAAACTCTTTATTTAACATCGTCCGCTACTCCAATTTTATTTCTAGTTCTATTGCTCTTGTGTGTATTAGTACTTTCGTATATTTATTTAAAGTCAAATCCCTTTAGTTCCACTAGTCAACCATGAAAATATTTCTGCTGTCTCCTCCATTTGTCATTTCGGTAATGAAGATTACATATTCAAGAACCAGATTGATCAGTATTTGGCCTGTTTTAAATCATTTAGTAAGTTCTTTATATATTCTGGCCATTGCTGTTGTTGAGTTCATCATTGCTTTTACTAGTCGGATATATTTCAAGGGGATGATAAAGCCTTCCAAGATGTTGCTTCTCTTTATTAATGGATGTTTCACTCCTTTCTTCACATAACATTAAATAAAAAATGGATCCTACTTTTCGTGTTGGTCATCTTAGTTAAGATTTGTCTGACCTCAACACTTTAAAAAGAAAATACTTCCCTAAATGAAAGGACATCAAAATCTAAAGGACTGAAAAAGAAAGTTATCCATCAAGTTATAAGAAACATTAGTTGAAGGAATCATTAAATTCGTCAGATAAAACCTGTCTCCAAGTTACTCTTAAACTTAACGCTCATTGATAATATCTCACATACACTTAATTGTATTAGACTTGTAATTCATTTATGATTGTAAATCCCTCTTTAAAATGTATTTGTTGTCAAACATGGCGTCCCTTGTTGATTCTAAATTTGTTATTGGTTTACAGCATCTAGCTATATCATTATTTCTTTGATCACAAGATGGATGATATTTTAGGTCCCATATTTCATATTTACAGTGCGCACTGTTTTTTTTATAATTAAATTAATTATAATTAATAAAATAAACCCCAGCAGTGTTTTGTGCATTTGTCTCAACTGGCACCACCTTTAAATGGCTTCAGAAAAAAAGTTAGTACAAGTGACCAAACATTAGAGTGTTTAAAAACAAAACGAAAAGGTTAATGCGAATAAATGTTACAAACTATTAAAGAACTAAAAAACTATTAAAGAGTACGAACATATCTTGCAATGAGAATTAAAAAAAAAACAAAATATGAAAATGAACAACTTGTTTAAAATATTTATTCTTAGAACTCTTACTCATTCTTAACGAACTTATTTTTTAATTCACTAAACATCTGTATTAAAGCATCTAAACTATATTGTCCATGCACAATATTATCTCGAGTACGAACATTTACTGTCCCATTTGACTTTTCTTTTTCTCCAACCACTAATATAAAATTGAACTGTTGAGACTGTGCATTCCTGATTTTCTTATTGAGAGTATTGTGGGAATCAAGATCAACTTCTATCATAAATCCAGCATTAAAAAGTTTTTCCCTAATTTCGTTTGCATATTCAGCACAAGTCGATCTAACAGGAATTACCATAGCTTGTCTTGGTGATAACCAAAAAGGCCATTTACCTGCATAAGATTCACTTAAAACAGCTATACATCTTTCAACTGACCCAAGAATTGCTCTATGGATCATGACTGGTCTTTTCTTTTCCCCACTATCACTATCATATAATAAATTGAACCTAATGGGTAGCTGAAAGTCTAATTGAATGGTTGCACACTGATGAGGCCTGCCAATCGCATCTTTAATGGTTATATCAATTTTTGGGCCATAAAATGCTCCATCACCAGGGTTCAACTGCCAAGGTTTGTTTAACTGAACAAGACTTTCTTCTAATGCTTTTTCAGCAGAGTCCCACAATTCTGGCTCCCCAATATATTTCTCAGGTCTAGTTGACAAACACAGTTCAAAGGTAAAGCCAAATGTAGAATAAACATATTCCACAAAATTTAAACAATCACTTATTTCACTTTTCAGTTGCTCAGGAGTGCAGAAAATGTGAGCATCATCTTGCTGAAATCTTCTAACTCTAGTCAAACCTACAAAATAAAAAATAAGTTACTTCAATAGATCACTTCACGATTAAGGATACAATAGTTCATTGTATGTTTAATCAAACAAGCGATTTATTTAACCCCACAAATGGAGTTGGTTGCCTAAGGATTATTGCGACAAACAACATCAAAATTTAACACAGATAGCAGTTGCATATTTTATTAATCTCTTTAGTGGCGCTATAGCCCTTATAGTGTATTCACATTTTTAATTTAACTGTGTCATATTCGTGTGGTGCTTTGCAGTTGGAGACACTAGCCAACTGGCATCAGTATAACAGGTGTATTAAAACACCTTCCAAGACAAAACCTATAGTATATTTATTTCAGTATACTCTGCTGTACAGTAATCCCAGATAAAACCGCGAGGGTAGCGTTCCGAGGAGAAAGACGCGGTTGGTGAAACCATGGTTGGCGAGGGAACCACGATCCAAAGAAAAATATGAAATATAATCAAAATTAGGATACATATATTAGTACATAATATGTAGATATACGATGAAATAATAAAATAAGCAGTGACAGTCATATTAAATAAATGTAAGTATACCTATGTGTACATAATATTACGAGTACAGAATGCTTTAAAAACTTCATCTTTTAAAATATGATACGATGGTTAACTTCTTCATTTTCTTTTTTTGAAGTTTTTGAGCAGACGATAATACTGCGTTGAGTGAGAGACGTGATTGCCGTCTTGACTTTTACTTCTTGTAATTTTGACGTTATGTAAAGAAACTCTTTTTTAAAATCTTTTGAACTATCCTTTCCCTTAAGTGCTATCTCTGCGACGAAGGTTGGCAATCATCATGGCTATTCTGACCTTCGAGGCAGCTGCTCTGAACAATTGCCTTGAGCTGCAACCAAACCACTCTCTCAGGTTCTTCAACCAGTTGAATCTTTCGCCTCGCATTACATGTCCGAGATATTGCAATTTCCTTTCTTTTATTATATTTTCCATTTCCCTCTCTCTGCTTATTCTCCTTAACACTTCTGCATTCCTGACTCTATCTACCCATGAAATCCTTAACAATCTTCTAAATGTCCACATTTCAAACGCGTTAAGTCGATTTATTGTATTCCAGTTTAATGTCCATGATTCAGCTCCATAGTAGAGTACACTGTGTACATAGCATTTAATTAGCCTTATTCTGAGGACCAATGTCAGATCTTTGCTATATAAAATCTTTTTCATTTTCACGAAGTTGGCATGTGCTTTTTCAATTCTGACTCATGAATTTGGTTATTTTGATGTTAAGAGAGAGTCTGTATTCTCCACTATATCTTAATATTTTGTTCATTATTCTTTCTAAGTCTTCCAAGTTGTCGGCTATTATGACTCTATACTTGGCATACCTAATGTTGTTAATTAAACTTCCGTTCACTTTTATGCCGACTGTCTCGTTTACCAAAGCTTCTTGTATGATTTCTTCAGAAATCATTAAACAATAACAGCGACAGTATGCAACCTTGCCTGACCCCTCTCCTTATCTCCACTTCTGACACTTCTCTTCTAAGTTTCACATTTGATCGTTGGCTGTAGTATAAATTTGATATCAATGTTACATCCCTCTCTTGCAGATTCTTGTTTTTGAGTACTTCTATAAGTCGATCACGTTTTACTTTATCGAATGCCTTGTTGTAGTCTATAAAGCATACATAAAGATCTCGATTAACATCCAAACATCTTTGGGTCAGCACGTTAAAATAAAACAGTGCCTCTTTTGTGCCCACTCCATTCCGAAATCCAAACTGGGAATCACTAATATCCATCTCCAGCTTAGCGTGTATTCTATTATAAATGATTTTTAGCAGAGTTTTTAAGGTATGTGACATTAGACTGATCGTTCTATAATCACTACATTCTTTGGCATTTACTTTATTGTTAGACAAATAAATGTTGATGTCAGCATTTCACATGGAATGAATCCTGTGGAATAGATTGTGTTCAGTAGTTGGACTAAAAGATCTTTGTTTTTTTCATTGGCCAGTTTTAGCAATTCACTTGGTATTTCATCTGGACCAGCAGCTTTATTATTTGTCACGGACTTTACTGCATGCATACTTATGACTTTGTTGTGTCAGGTCCCTCGTCTTTACTCTGATTATTTTCATATATATTTTCCTGTCTCTGGTCATGGAATAGTATGCTTGAGGTTTTTTTGCTTTGCTATCACAGCTAATTCTTAAACTTTTTTATGGAGATTGAAGTTTTCATATTTGTTTTGTAAGTCTTCTATTTCTTGGCATTTTCCAGCGAAATAATCTCTTTAGCTTCTCTTATTTTCCTTCTTATTTGATTATGCAACTGTTGATACTAAGTTATGTTGATACTCTTTTGTCTTCTTCTGTCCTCCATCATTTCCAAGATTTCTTCTGTCATTAAATCTTCTTTCTTGCATATTTGGTTGTTGATTCCGGTGTGGATTCTAGGTTTGCATTCATTTCTTGTTTCAGTTTTTCTTTGACGTCTTCTGATTTTAATTTTTGTATGTTTAGTTTATCACTTTTGTAGCTTTTTTGTATCTTTTTTAAATTAAGTTGGAATTTTGCTACAAGAGGATTGTGGTCCGACGCTACATCTGCACTTAGGTACGCTTTCACTGAACCATCCTTTACTCGCTTTTAAACTAGAAGATTCATTGTCAGTCTTTAGATTGTCGTAAAGACAAAGAGCCTTTTCTTATTTTATTTGTGTGCTAATTGGCATCCTCTTTCGTTTGCTCTTCGATCCAAAGGGTCAGCGCTTCTTCCATTTTTTCCAAGGTTTGAGATCGCGAAAAACAAATTACTTTGTTGCTTGAACTAGTGCCATAAAAACACTGGAACAAATGGTTTTCTCATTCTTTAATAGTCCTTGCAGTATATTTATTCACTTTAAACTTATTTGCCACACTTCTACACGATTCTTCTACAGCTAAACATTCTAACAACTAAATTTTTTGTTATCTAAACTGATTACACATCTTTTCTTTTTAACAAAATCTTTATTATTCCTTTCAGACAAAGACATTTTTTAGTATAAAAGATTTGTACGTTAAAACGAGAATCGTAAATTGCTGTTACCCTACCCGAAATATGAAGAAGTACATTATAATATGTACATATCTGTGAAATGCCTACTACTTAATGTGACGCAAATGAGTTATTTCATCGGATGACGGAAACTGTGGGTGATGAGTCCACGGATAATGAGGGATTACTGTATTTCTTATTTTGTCAAATATGGTGCTTCTTTTATATATGCATATGTATACAGTGGAACCTCGATTATCTGTCTCTAACCGTCACCTCTGTTAACCGTCAGGGTCCATACATAAGTTATATTGACTACATAAGTAAAAATTTAGTCATCAATTCATTTTGCTTGAGCATTGTGATAAGCCATACGAAATTCGTTGAAATGTACAAATGCAGTTTTGCCACCATCTCATTTTTTTATGTAAATAATTTTTATTCTTAGCCAGGGCTCTTGACTAAATTTTAATTAAAATAGGGAATGATTGAATAACAATTGAATTACAGTCAATATATGGGTGTCACCATATATCATTTTGATTCAAATTCAAAAATTTATTGTGTCACTTAGTCGTTTGATCAATTAAGTTTTGAAAAATGGACCCTTCCACATATTGAGCATCAAAAACGTGTTGTTTTGTCAATTGAAAAAAAAAATAGAAATTATTGCAGAACTAAAGAAATTTGTTTCTGCTGTCACATTGAGCAAAAGGTATGATGTTTCGAGAACAACAATCAATGATTTAAATTAAATAATAAAACAAACAAAGATTTTGGAATATTTTAAATCAAATTGATTCGACTGTACTAACATAAATACCTCTTATATTGTCAAATAAAATTTGAGAGTTATACAATGAACATGTTTTTTTAATGTTCTGTTAACAGTCTTTTCGATTATCCGTCATACCTTTGGTCCGGTGCCCTGAAGGATAATCGAGGTTCCACTGTATTAGAATAGCTGTTTATTATGTGGTACATCCACAATATTTTGATATTCAAGTTAATGAAGAGCCACACACACAGGTTGTGTTTTTACAGTGTATAGTAATGTACAGATGATACAAGTTTTGTTAAAAAGTTCTTTGAAGTACAAGATTTTAATAAATTTCATTAGGTATTAATAGACTCTTCACTCTTATGAATGTTGTTTTTGCAATTTCTGTATTTGTTATATAACTTCAGTATACAGGTCTTATGTTATCTTACAACTATTGGATACATATTTAAACCTATTCTATATACTGTCAATGCATAGTTTATTTGTAAATTGAAGATTTTAGTGGCTGACACTACTGTATATTTATACAAACTGAACTTTTTGAAATAATGACTAGTCATTAGTGTATTTTAAACTATTTATATATTTTGTTATTACTGCCATATCCCAATATTGTTTGGTAATTCTCTGTCAAATATAGACATTAACAAAAGATACAAACGATATGAATCTATGTTACACCTTATGTTATTACATTTATATAGGTAATTAATTACTATTACTTAACTAATATACCTACCTGTTAATACACCTGACAGTTCATTTCTATGAAGCACACCAAAATCTGCTAGACGAAGAGGAAGTTCCCTCCAGGACCTAATGCGGTGGTCAAAAATTAAACAATGTCCCGGACAATTCATGGGCTTCAATGCATATTTATCATTCTCTATATCTATTGAAAATATATTCTCTGAATAATGCGACCAGTGGCCTGAAGTCTGCCATAACTTTGTATTGTAAATATTCGGGGAAATTACCTCCTGATATCCCCTTTTCCTATATTCGCTTCGAATAAAATTTACCAGTGTATTGTATATGTGAGTTCCATAAGGTTGGAAAAAACAAGAACCGGGAGACATTTCATGGAAGAAAAATAATTCTTGTTCTCTTCCAATTTTTCTATGATCTGGTAATTCTTTTTCTGGTCGAGGTAGAGAGGGTTTAACTTGTTCGTCGTGTTTAAATCTTATAATTGGTGATTTAAATGTCACTAGACAAAATTTATAATTTTCAGTCAAATTTGATATTCTAAATAAATGTGAAATACACGATTTGTTACATAATTTAAACATTTTTAGTTAGATTATGTTAATTTATCTTTTAACACATTTTGTAAAAATATTTCATGTTTAAATATTTTTAATTTTTAAATTTCTAATTCCTAACCTTAAAATTGTTAAACCTTAAATTCTTCTTTTCGTGTGTTTCCCAATTCGTCGAAACGACTGAGTCGAAACATGCAGTAACAGCAACAGTAACGTAGAAGAAACACGTCAAGTTAAATGATTGGTTAAAAATGTTGTGTTAATTTTTTGGAGTTTGTATCTTGAGAGACCAAAGTACTATTAAACATTAATACTCATTGAATTAAAGCATTATTAAAATGCGTTTAATTGTCATAGGATTATTTGTGATACTTCCTGTAAGTATTGGGAAACTTTACTAGAATATGGTACTATGTACTTATTTTATTATTAACAATTTTATCGCTTTTTAGTCACTTGTGTTATCTGAGTTTTCTGCAGAAGATTGTTGGGCTCTTGGATTTCACAAAGCAAACTTACTGTGTTCATCGTGTGATCAATTAGTCAAATTTCAATTAGATGAACTTGTGTGAGTATTAATTTATTATATCATTTTATATTATCTACAGCTACACGATCTTAATATACCAAATGTGAAGAAAATAAGGTCAAATCTGTTCAGATTTAAAAGTGCTTTTGGTACAAGGAAGGTGTTATTTAGCATCAAGGTTTTTTATACATGTTGAGATGTAAATATTGATGTATATGCTTGCTTTGTCAATTATGAGAGAGCATTGGAGACTGTTTGTTCAACATGAGCATTTGACACTGTTAAACATGAGAAGTTAATTGCTATTTTAAATTATGTAGTTCTGAATGCACGGAACATTTGGATAATGGTAAGTTTGTACTGAAATCAAACAGTTGACATTATAATTTAAGGTCAGAAAAAATTTCTATTATAAGAGGAGTTCGTTAAGTCTGTGTGCTCTCCACTTTTCTTTAATGGATATACTTCAAACACTGCAACAATTTATGGTTCAAATGGTCAATTGATGACCAGAAAATAAAAAGGCTAATTGGTTTTAGCAAAGAATATAGACACTTATAGAAGAACAGTTGACAATGCTTTTTTTTGTTTTTTTCATAATAAAATCTTTATTTTTGTTATATTAAAGTGTTAAATTTTTAATTTTGAAACTTAAAAAGGTATGATATTTACAATATTCAAAGCATTTATTTTTTAAATTTTATAACTTTGAATTAAAAATAGTTTTGTTCCAACACAACGAAAAACCGTCACATAAATTTTTATTATACTGCTTTCTGTCCAAAAATTAACAAAACATTTTAAAAAATTTCAAAATTTTTCAACTAAAAATTTTATTTTCTCAGGACTTTCCATTAAACTTTTTGGACAATTTTCCACTTACACTTGTACGATGTTTACCGACAAAACAAGGTTTTAGAATAAATATCAAAGAATGCATGCGACTATATTCTTTGTCAGTGAATGAGAGGTAAAATGAGAAAAGATTCGTCTGCTGACCAGATGTACTTAAGAATACACTCTTGAATGGAAGTAGGTACATTTGGTATATAATAAAAGTTTAAAATCATCTGAAGAACAATAATACTTGAAATAAAAATGTTTGGAATATAAATAGTTTGCAAACAGAAATAGTTGTTTTAAAATTATTTTCTTCTAAGAAATATGAAATTAGGCGAAATGTACCAAATTAAATATATTTTGCAGAGAAAACAGTGTTGTGTTTTACATTTTATGATATATTATATTAAAAACAAAGAAGAAGGAATAATTAAATTTACAAACTTTGGAAATATTTAATTCCAGTGATTGATGACTTTATTGATTGAATTAATTTTATTTATATTTTATTAGAAGAGACTTTTAACTATATTTGTAGATTTGTACATCTTTAAATTAAAAATTTGAATCATAATATTGTTTTTAAAAGAATTCATTTATTAAAAGTTAAAATATTATTTTCTTTAAAAAATGTTATAAAACCCAAAAATTTAATCCTATTCTACGGCCACGCGGCATCTACATATAAAAATATCCATTGCATTTGTTGCCCCACTCTTTCATGTTTTAAAAACAGTAATAGCGCTGATATGACCGCTCCCTAGTGGTACTAAAATCTCGATCCACCCTCTCATTCTTTTTCATAACATGCGATCAACCTTTGCCGACTTTCAAAAATAACAGTGAAAAATTCTTCTATAAGCGTCTATATTTTTTGGTTTTAGTATAAAATCTAAATGGATATTCTACTTAGACTATAATACACAGGTGTATTGGATCAGCCTATGCTTGAACAATATAGCAAGACATGGAGCTTGCAATTCTTTTTTTTTTTTACTAAATTTTGAAAAAGCAAATTATATAGCTGTAGATAGAACGTTAATAAAATCATTGACATCTTACTATATTCCACCAAAGAAATAACGAAATATGATGCATGATTTGCGATTTATAGTTTCATTTAATATTTGCCAGACTATACAATTTTAATATAGATGTTTCAATTTAATCTTGTATTTATTTTTTAGAAATCATTGTAAAGAATGTTGTCACCCAGATGAAGTTAATTCATCAAAAAAAGTTTATTACAAAGCAGTTCTAGAAGTATGTACTTGCAAGTTTGGTGCATATCCTCAAATTCAAGCCTTTATTAAAAGTGATAGACCTGATAAATTTCCCAACTTACAAATTAAATACCTCAGAGGACTCGATCCCATCATAAAATTGTATGATAAGGACGGACATCTACAAGAAACAGTTGCTATTGAAAAATGGAACACAGACTCTGTAGAAGAATTTTTAACTACACACTTGATAAAATTAGATGATGATGATTATTTAAGAACAAATATGGTGTAATATAATATAGTTTGTAATCTGTACTTTTGTTGTACTTTATTTACTTTTTATTCATTTATTTTTCGTGTTTATATTAACTTCTAAGTGGCATTATGTTATTCCTTGATTCTTAGGGAACACAGTTCGAATTATCATCGGAATAATCATTTAGAAAGAAATATATTGGTATCAATACCAATGGTATGATTGTCATTGTTACTTTCATTTTCGTTGAGTAAAACAAAAAAATTAAATGAAAAAACAAAAGGAACCTTTAAATTATTAAATACCTAGATTGTTCTTTTGAAATTAACTTTTTTACTGTCCATGCTATGTAGAATATTCAGATTTTAAGCAGATATTCAAATAAATATAATGACACCAACTTACCTCATGCTATTTGGGTATTATGATTAACAAGTCATCCCAAAATTATTATAACAATAAATAAGGTTCTCTTTATTACTTCATCTAATGTGAAAATGGATTTAACAAACTATCTCGGTTCCTTCTCACATATTTACAGCAAATACTATAGTACCTCCATAATACTACTTTCTTCGCAGTAAAGTACAGAAAGCGTTGAGATACTACATTCCCATTACTGCATATTGTGTTGTCTATATTACGATTTGAGTTATAGTATTCTCTGTAAGAAATTTCGATATCGTAAAATCTGTTTATGGCAATAACTAAAAATTTAAGAAAAATGAGTTACGACAGTTTTCGTTGGGAGGGTCGATACTACTCTGAAGTTTCTTCCAGGAAAGTTGTGGCTGTGCAATGAAACGAGACTACTGTGAAAAGGCTAATGAATAATATCATTGCGACAACGATCATCAAGGAAAAATATACAAGCGAGGATGTTTTGATCCCGCGTATAACTTTATAATTTTCCGTGCTTTTGGCTTCTGCAATGACAATAAACAAATCACAAAGCCAACCGTTGGAAGTTTGCGGAGTTTCCATGTTTCGGGCATGGTCAATTATTCGCGTGTCCAAAATCCGTCGTCGTTGTATATTTATTTAACGCAAAAAAAATAAAAATATTTTTATCAGAAAGTATTAAATTGATTCAACTTCTTTTTCATGCATAAATATATTTTTTTGTTTTATTTTCAGTTGTTACACATTATTGACACATTATTTATTTCTAACGCGGTACGAAGTTCCGCGGATTAGCCAGTATATATTATATAAAATGATAATAAGTATATATATATATATATATATATATATATATATATATATATATATATATATATATATATATATATATATATATATTACAGTATACCGCAAGATTACTACACCAGTCTCGTTTTGCGTTGCGCTAAATAGGATTTCGCTCCCGTCAAAACATCACACCGAGCGCTAAGAAGTATTCACTTTAATAGTAATTGTATTTAAATAAAATTATTTAAACCTGCTTAGAATAAATATATGATGACTAGAAACCATTTAAAATGTGAAGAACCGCTATTTCGTGACGCTAGTCGTAGCGCTAGTTCTGTGACGCTCGCCTTAGCATTGTATTATAGAGAAAAAGTAATACAACGCCAGCATAGAAACTTCTCTTCACAGTGCACAAAGAACAGCATCTTTAAATAGTCTGTAGCATACATGTCATAAAATGTTTTTTTTATCTATTTTATTGATTTTTAAGCACTGAAAGTTTTCTAAAAAATGTCATGTAGAGTCACCCTATAACTCTTATATGTTTATGTCTATCTATATATTCCATACCATCGATAATTTCCTTAACACCATGTAATTGGAATAACAGTAAACGGTATGCCGTCGATCTAAATATAAGAGTATTGTTTTATGGCAGTATATTAGGCTATATTATAGATCTTTCCCTGTGACAAGAAAAATCTTGATTACCCTACATCTATGATTGTGGATTTAGAATGGATTTTAGCGACTGCTGTAGACCGTTCTTGGGGCTTGTTGATTTTTTTTGCAATGTTGCTGTTGGTTGTTGGTTCGTTCTTGGTCTATTCTTATTCCATGAAAAGTTAGAAAATGAATGCTTATTTCCGACAGAGCCCTACATGCCGGAAGAAGCTAATAGAAACTAGATATTGCTTCATACCTGATTTTAGCCGTTATAATGAGATATCGTGGTTGTTGGATATCATTCAGTCTTAGTGTGATATCCTTTATTTTCTCTTGTATATATGCATGCTTAGAATATAATGTATATTATGTACACTATAATCATTATAATAGGTATTTTAAATTAAATCTTAAAAAAAATGGCACAAATAATTTATAAAGCTGACTGAATTGTCACCCTTACGTGACTCGTTAAATTAAAAAAGAAGAACTGCTCCTCGCGTCAATTATCTGTCTAAACAACGTCAGCCAACAACATATAACTGCATGCAACTATTTGAGTAAACTGACATGTGTTGAGTTTATTGATAAAAAGTATTTAGAAAAACAGAAATGACTTACTTAAAATCATGGGAAGAATTTGAAAAGGCTGCCGAAAAATTATATCTTCAATCACCATCAAAAGTTAGATATACAATGAAATATGCACATTCAAAAAACCATCTAATACTTAAAATGACTGATGATGTAGTGGTAAGTTTTTGGTTTCTGTTAATAATATAATTTTTAAATATACTTAATTTATAAATATTTTAGTGTCTGCAGTTTAAGACGGAAATCGCTCAAGATGTCAGAAAAGTAGATAAGTTTGTAAATAATTTGTTAAGGCATATGGTATCCAAGGAACATTAGTCTTAAACATAGTACTAGAAAACATTAAATCAAATGGTTCATACAAAGTGTATATATCCACTGTCTGTGAAATCGCATAAAAGTTTATTATTTTCTGATTTTTAAGGTTTTTACAAGAATTAAATTTTATTTTTGGGTATCACTTCTTTAAGAACAAGTCTGCCCTCATATTTGTCTAGTTATGTGATTTCAATTTAAGCAGTTCATATATGACAATGTGTTAATATTAAGATTGTTCCCATGTATAATGTATGATTTTTATAATAAATATTTTTCAACTTGTTAAAAAATGCTATTAAGTTATTGATTTACCTAGGTGAGAACATGTATACCTAAAGTTTCAGTTCCATTCTTCTAATTTTTAGCTTTAAAAGAAAAATTATGTTAAAATCAATTATTGTGATAACCATTTTACATTGATGGTAATGACCTTCATGGACAATGACCCTAAGAGGTATGAGAAGGTTGGAGGCAGGCCCGGCTCAAGACGAAATTTTCACCCGGGCAAGGATCTTTTGAGTCGCCCCCCCTCCTAGTAAAAACCCCTATAAAAACAACAACAATCAGCTGTTTTTAAGTTTGCAACACTTTTTGAGTAACTGGTGATGTTAAGACCTTTGATAGCCCCACTGTAAAATGTTCGTGTTAAATCAACACAGCATGACATCACAGGATGTTAACATCTTTTGTGTGTGTCATATGATATTGACACCGTCTGTGTGTAATTTGGACACCAACTGTGTGTTATATTGACACCGTATGTGCATATGACACACAGACGGTGTCAATTTGACACTCAAAAAGTGTGTAATACCATATAAATGTAATTGGATAGTAAATCAACGCCATTTTTTTTACATAAGCGTTGTATATTTTGCAGTGTCAGTTAAAGAAACATAAGACTTTGGACACAGTTTGGACGTAAAGTATATTTACATTATATTTAAAAATATTATATAAAGAACAATGAACAATAGCCTGGTGTCAATGATGTAATGATGTAATTTAGTCTGTTAGGCTTCTGTAAGTATTGCAAGTCTAGTTTACAAAGACAAAGTTTACGAGCCTTTTTTTCAGCAAAGTCCTTAATGATGTTGCTTAAATCAAGTCGTTGTAATACATCATATTCTATAGACATAGGTGCCAGTCCTACTAGCCGTTCTTGGACATAGTGGATCTTAAGTAGTTTTTAATTAACTTAAGTTTAGAAAAGCTTCTTTCTCCAGATGCAACACTTACTGGAAAACAAAGAAGAATTCTTAGAGCTACACAAACGTTTGGAAAGTTCTCACTTAAAGAATGTGATGAAATAAATTTCAAAATGTCCTTTGGTTTATCTCCACAATCGTCGGGTAGAACTGTTTTGAGCACTAAGAGTTCCTGATACATCTGGTGTCCTTCAACATCACGGTGCTCTCCATCAGTTAGAGATATCTGCAGATCTGCACATTTAGTCATTAGAGTATTGATGTCTTCTCTTTTCAGTTTGTAAAGAAATCCAAACGTGTTATTGTGGGTGGATAACTAAGAAAAATCTCTCTTCAAGTGATGCGATTGTTGTGTCCAAAATGTAGAGGTAACATTTACTTCTGAAGTTTACTTTTGGATACACAACTGCTTCATCTCGTACCTCATCATCAAATTGGCGCTTGACTCTCCTTGGTCGAACTTGTTGTTCAGAAGGGAAGGATGGTTCAACTTCAAGGCTTTCTGCTACAACTCGAGCATCAACAAGCATTTCTTCAAACCCCTTGTCACTTCTTATTTTCATTAAAGTAGGACTTTACAGAAGCTATCAGTTCCATAGCGGCTGCAATATCAAAATCTTCTTTTTGTAGCAGTTTACTGATCACATTTATCCTCGAGAGAATTGTATTCCAAACCGCTTTGCGGAGGAAGTGGTAGGAGGCTTACGAAGTTGCGCTTGTCGTCTGCAACCCTGCGTGGAGTCTGATCAGCTGATCGTGCGACTGACTGTCGCGCTGCTTTCTTGACTCACGACTAGCGGAAGAACGAGAGGTGAGAGGTTAGGTTCCGAACGTCCTTTGCGATATTTATAATTTTTCGGCTTACTTAAATTACCTACCGATTGGTTTGCCATCAAAACTATCTAGTATTTGGTGTATAGCCATCGTTGTTATTGTTAAAAATGTAATTTGATTAACCCAATTATTTCCAAAGTAAAACTGTCCAAGATAAGTAAAAGGAAAATTCACCTCACATTATTTGTTAATTGTTCAGAGCTGTTAGTAAGCAGTGGATCACCAACTTAGTGGATCGCCCGCTGTTAGTGGTCGACAAAGCTGAGGAGCCGCGAATGCAAGGGCGCCTTCGGCGCCCTTACATTCGCGGCGCCCCGGGCAAGCGCCCGGTTTGCCCGGCCCTTAAGCCGGGCCTGGTTGGAGGCCTTCAATATGTAGGTGTATCTTAAGATCAAAGTATACAATCAATACATACTCCCTGTTCTCACTTATGGTTCCCAAATGTGGACATTTACAAAAGCAAACATGGACAAAATCATAAAAACCCAAAGAGCAATGGAAAGACGGAATTTTCACTAGAAAATACATACAAAATTTTTAAAAACATAATTTTTATTAAAAAATGAACCTAAATAAATTTCAAGCCTGTCTTTAAATTTACTTTCATCTTCCTATGAGATTTTATATACCTGGGAATATTTTCTTTTTTTTTACAACTTTGGCACTAGTGTCAATTATACTGCTATCACTGTCACACAATATTATATACACTATACACTTAATATAATTTACCCACAGACCACTTGAATATGTGCAAAAAATAACTATAATATAATACTGAATTATCATCATCTCTTTACAAGTCAGGCACTGAGGATTCAGGGATTTTATCAATGTTTATTCAAGTAAATCCCAGAAAATTCAACTTTAAATGTTGCAATACATTCTTAATTACCACTTATCGCTGCTACATTATAGGCGTGAGTATAATTCAATTTTGTCTCATATTCTTTAAAACAATGTCAAAATTAGAAACAAAAAATCTCAAAAAGATAATCATCAATCAAATATAAGTATATTAGGTTTTGTCTAATGCTTTAAATTAAAAATGCGGTAGAATAAGGTGTTAAAACGGTAGAGCGATAGATCGAGGTGAAAAACGGTAGATCTGGCAGCACTGGCGATATGAAATGTAATATATGAGCTATAATATATATTATAGTATACTTCCCCATCAGTAGCAAGCTTTATTGTCTAGTATTATATCAAGATAAATATTTATTTATACAACGCAATAGTCATTTTCAGAAGGCACAGACCTGTCATCACTAATGTGTATTATGTTGAGATCACTTAATGATTCATTTAGAATTTTAAATAATTCGTCTTGTGTGAATTTTGCACGTTGTAATTTAGGTTTTATAATTCCCCAAGGGCCCAGTTGTTCATTCCTATTCATAGATTCAAAAACGAAAAGCACTTTTCAATTATAGAAGTGTAGAAAAACATGGTCGTCAGAATACAAACGTTCTTACTCGAGCGCTAAAAGATTACTGACGCATTTTAATTTGGGACTCCTGTTGACTCGGAACCGTGGCATGGTATAAATAATAACAGGTATGATATTACACAGGCCACTGTTAGCAGATCCCCTATTCTTGACGCCACAATGAGAGTTACTGTCATTGTAATATATCTGTTTATAACAGAAATTTGATCAATCTTTTAGCTTCTGGCTTCTTTTGATAAGCTTGTAGATTTTATGGTGTTTTGTGAGATTTAAGTGGATTTGTAGGCTTTTTAGTGTAAAAAAATTATTATTAGGAAAATTTTGAACTCTTTATGCGATTTTATAAGTGATACTGGCTTTGTAGGTATACCTACTTTATATATGGACAATAATTTCGTGTTTTAGAAGTTATAAATATGGTATGTTTAATTATTATTAAGTCAGTACTTAATACCCAACCATACTCATACCCCTCCTGCATTTTTAGTGACTTTCGCTAGGAACAATTTATAAGCTAAACATAAAATGCATTGTGTAGTAGCTGGTTGTTTGAGCCATAACCAGACAGAAGATACTGATAATCTGGTAGGTTTCATGGTTTTCTCAAGGACCCGGCAGTGGAAAACTGGGATATTGCTTGTTGTCATGCGAAGACAAATTTAATACTAAAACCTCAAGGATTTATTCCAAATACTTCATATTGTTGTAATATGAATCAAAGAAAGGACATAAGTAGAAAAGTGATGCCGTTCCTTTTCTTTCTCTGACACAATTGATACTTTTATTCATCAATCTACATAAAAGACAAGAAAAACTTTCCAAAAGAGAGTCGAAGAGGATTGTGGAACATAATTACACATCTTTTTCGGTCTCAAATGTATTTTAGAATTCAGAAATTAAACCTAACACTTAAAGAAGATATAGAAAATTAAAGAAAATTGTAACTTAAATCCTTGTGTTTGATTTGTTTTGTCGATTTTATGACAGATTTATTTTCATATGTTTACATGCAAATAGACGAATGCTTTATCACCTTATTGAGACTGACGCCAAATAAGACAAGCCAATCAAAAGAGAGCTCGTAAAATTTACGAAGAATACCTTCCTGGGATTAAAAATTGAAGAATACAAAAATTTTAAAATTTATTTTAGATTTATTTTTGTTCACTGTATTATTTATTAATTTTTTAAATCAAAATAATTAAACACCTATATTTTAATAAATCCCAAATAGTTCAATAGAAACTGTATTAACCTATAAAATTACTTCTTCTTATTCTTTTTTTGTGCTATGTCCTAGACAATTTACCCAATTTACCCCTATAAAATGACATGAAATGCAAGCACCGATGTTCTTACGGGGAAATTTCAAATCACTCTCATTGTGATGTAATGCGAGAACTCGTCCCAATTGCGCACTCAGGAGTATCATACATACCTGTTCTTCTTTGTAAGAGAAAAACTTGTCTAATGCCTGGCTATTGCGACGTCCAGAGAAAAACTTATTTTTCTGGTCTAATGCAATTGGGTCCAAAAATTGTGAGGTAATGGGTTAAGGATACTAAGGGATAAAACTAAGAGCACAATTAGGAATTTAGACAAATATATTTTTTGAAAAATTCGTACATATATTACATGTATAATAAAAAAGTACAACAAATTACACAAAATTGTCTAACAAAACATAGAAAAGTTACCAAAATAATAATTTATAATAACATGGGAATATTACTATTAGGAATTAAAAGAATTGACAAACAATTTGACCAGCAAACAAATCTTACATTTGATTACTATTTTTAGTTGCTTATAATAAACCATAAACAAGTGTAACATATATAAATTTAAAATTATTTTGACTTGCCATATTGAGACGGTTATGGAACATAACACAGTTTGATTTTGTAGTATTCCTAAGGTGAAAAATATTTAAAATATTCATATTTTAATAATTGTACTTTTGGCAATTCACATACGGAGGATAATCAAATGCTGTATGACGTTTTTAAAATCTTGTTTCAAGGGTTTAAAATAAGAAATACTATTTTCTACTGATGGTTTTATGCTATGAAAGAAAACACTCATATATTTGTCACTGTTATTGTGAGGATGATTTTAACAAGTTCGAAGAAGATTGGCATTTAGAGACTTAGATTTAGATGATTTATGAGGTGACATCTCTCATTACACTCGGCGAAAATTATTACAGAGCATGTGTTATGCTCGATATCGCGGAAAGATTAAAGGAAGAATTCAGGCAGCAAATAGATGTATGTACAGCGTCCACAATACTATTAAATCTAAAAGCCTAACACGAACATCAAAGATTAGAATATATAAAACGGTGATTAGACCGGTGGTCATGTATGGATGTGAGACGTGGACCCTGACCAAAGAAACTGAAAGAAAACTTAGATGTTTTGAGAGGAAAATCCTCAGAAGAATCTTTGGGCTTTATCACGACATAGTCCAAGTGATTAAATCCCAACATCTAAGATGGGCTGGTCTAGTCCATAGACTCCCTAATAACCGCCTTGCCACGTTAATAGGAGAAGAAGCCCCCACAGGAAGAAGGCCCTTAGGACGTCCACGAATGCGATGGAGGGACAATATATGGTCAGATCTAAGAACAATGGTGCTACCAACTGACCCAACTATTATGGACGACCGTTCAAGATGGAAGCAAGTTGTGCAGTCAGCCAAGACCCATCCCAGGTTGTAGTACTACGAGAAGAAGATAAAGATGTGTTATGCTATTAATATAAGAGAAATGGTCGCGCCGGTCGGGATATAGTTTTTGTATGGCTTTTGTCGTTTGTGCGGTATAAGAATAATGTTTGTAAAAATCCTTTAAAAGTCAAAGCCATAAAAACACTATAATACCTTGGCTCGGTCATGAGATGAAAATATAATCGCGAGTTGAAAATTCTGGATAAACCTTTCATCTAATAAAAAGCTCCTCATAACTTCACCTTATCACTGGATGTTCATATTAGTTCAAATCTCATATTTGTTTCACATTAATGTAGAGTCGGAAACTGGACTCTATGAGACGACTGGAAACCTTTGAAATGTGAATGTTCTAAACAATTCTAAATATTTAGTCGACAGAACACAAACTGAATGAAAATATCTATATATGTAATATAAATGATTGAAACCGATACACAACAGAACCGATAAAGCTTAGATAATTATTAAAACACCTAAAATCGGTTTTCTACAGCATATTTACTATCGAAACATAACTATCTAGGTCTTATAAAGAAGGGGAATATTGTACAAAAAAGCGGATTTGGAACACTAACCTTTAGTATTAGGTCGTATAATTTAGAGATAAAAGAAGTAATCGGTACAAACATATATCACTCTATAAAAGCCTTACTACAAAAGCTTTTTTAAAAATCACTTTCTTTAGTAGTTATTGTAACAAAATCCCCATAAGAGAACTAATGCTAATTATTTGCCATAAATCTATACCCTAAACTCAAGGAAACTATATAAAAGAAACCTAAATATCTCTCGCCTTGAAAAATTTTTTAGTTAATTTTTATCACAAAATGCTTATTTGCAATCAGATCTTGTATCAGTCTAATGGTACGTCACTAATTTTGGGTTTAAATTAAAGTCAGTGTCGTTAAGTAAAATTAAGACATTTTTTTAAGTCGCTTCAATGAAGAAGGTATTTAACAATGCTGAAGAAAGTTTTCTTAGAACCCAGCAATGAAACCATCATATTTACAATCTTCGGACACATCAATTCTAATGCTTTTTGTGTATGCTGCAATTTTGACTGAACTAATCCCTGATGAATAGACGAGTTACAATAGTTTTTTATATTCAATAAAATAATTTTACCTCTTAATAATTAACGATCCTTCAACACCTACATGGAAAAATATATTTTGCGGTACATTTAAATTATGTCAAACCATCAGTAGAAACTGAATTAATCTCTAACAGAGGAGCTCAGTATAGATTACAAACTTTATAAATGTTCAAATGTATATTATATGTACACTATTTACAGTTACATACAATGAACTTGCTTCTAATCGAAAGTATAATAAATAATTAGTATCATTCGATAAGTTAAGTTGACTAATCATTTTATGATAAGATGCGTGGAATGACGTATTTTTGCGTGAAAACTCCATAGATTCCTATTATTTACGAGGCGATCGGGAGGGATAGTTTCCCGGAATTTATTCCCAAGTTTCATATATTGGACCATTTAAAATATACCGCAAGGGTATAAGCTACAAAAACATAACTGACGTCATTAGTAAAGAAATATATAAAAGATAAGATAAAAATAGATCTGAAACAGGGTATACCCCACGCCCATAAAATTTAAAATTACTCTGTACGCATATTTATAAAAGCCTTAGGATTCCACTGGAATTTTATTTGGTTTTAAAAGAAACGATTTTCAGAGACAAGATAATCAAGAATAAAAATTAGTAAGAAATATAGCCTTAACCTAATAGTAGTCGTTCTATTTGAATGAAAGGCATTCATTTTATATAGGCTGAAAATTTGGGCATTAAGATATTTTTTAAAATACCTCGATGTTTTCGGAATAGAACCAGGACCTTCCTCGTGATAGTTTAACACTCTATCGTTTAAAATATACAGCCTCAAAATAAATGCGAAAAAAATGGAAATGGTAATATTAACCAAAAGAAACATTAAAGACTATTTTCTCATAAAAATCTTGACATTCTATTGAAAGAGAATATTCAACAGTCTTGCTTCATATAGAATAAGCAGGATAAGTCTTTACAAAAAAAGTAAGAAGCTGTTATGATCACCAGAACTATTATGTATCGCCTGGACAATTAATGTCAGAGCGGATGATCCTCAATAAAGAAGGAAAAAACAAAAAAATGAAATATTTTAAGCTGAGCTTGTAAAAAACTCAGCTATTAACTGAGTTAGCTTAGATTTAATCTTAGTGGAAGCTTAACTACCCTTCCACTCGACCTAAGAGGTCTATTATTGCTGTCAACTCAGTTGACAGTCTTTTGGAAATCAACTGGTGCAAAACTGAATATCAAATTTATTGTTGGAAAATGGAAATAATATTTATTGTTGGAAAATGGACACCAGAGTTAATTAGGCATAATTCCCGTAATCCAAACTGTGAAATATTGCTTATTATTGATAAAACAGGATAAAAATACAGTTCATCGAAGTGTAGTTAACAGACTGAACGTAAGAAAATAATCATCGGCAATATTAGAAATATAAAGGCCCTCCTAGCATAGGATTTTTAATGATTTTACATTTGTAAAAGCATAATACTCATTTCTAAAATATTACAAACTAAATATGAACTTTTTCAATGTATTGATAAATTAGTATGAGCCCCTCTGTTTTTTCTTAAACGATATGGTAACGTAACATGAATCTATGAACAAAATAATAAAGAAATGAAATATATTAAAAATACATACACAGAACATTTACGCTAAAGATGAAACCAAAGTAGATTGTTCTATTTGTTTTTCAATAAATAATTTAGTTCGCGATCTCCTTTATTTTCCTATGAGGTGTTCATTTCAGTGCACATCAAAATTTTAGCATATTAAACAACAAGACTGAAGCTGTTACAAGAGAAGTATGCATGTACAAAATGTCAAACAGACGATAAATAGTTCAACATACATCAGCCTCTTTCGAGTAGACCTTTTGATCATGTGACGAACACAAGCGCAGCCGCAATGTTGAAACAGCGGCAATTCAATAGCTCCGTACTGTTTTGATCAACAACAAACTGGTTTACAGGGAATGCAGTATTAATCTCCACAATTAAATCGATCATTAGAAAAAATCATTGATGGTGCATCAAATACTTATAATTCCGTTGAAGCCCATATTTATATGCAATTAAAAAGGTGGCTCAAATATCATGGACGTCCACAAAAAGGAAAAGAAATGAGCTGGTTTAGAGGTTAAGCATGTTTATTATACAAATAATATCTATAATTTTTTATTCTAATTTTTCATGTCAATCGATTTTATTATACTTTATAATCAATAAAATAGATCATTTATTATTTTAAGGTTAAAAATGAAAAATGCATGAACTGAATAGCAAGTACTGAATTTAATACAAACAAAATATTGTAGATATAACACGAGATTGTTTATTAAAAAATTTACAAAATAATATGTATAGTGGTTAAATGATTTATAGCGTGTATCATTCTTACATACTCTGTAACAACACCGCTTTGTTATTCATTTTCGTACAGATATCATAATCGATTAAAAAAAATATTTGCTAATTGTGGCACTTACTCCTTTATTTTCGTTTCTTTTTTTCAATAACTACTATACTTTTTGTATTAGTTTTGCATTTTATTTTTATGTTCATATTGCTTACCAAAAACAGTACGAAAAAATGGCTGATACTGACGTATGCGCACAAAAACAAATTGTGATGAAAAGATTTGTACAGTATCTCTTGCTTCTGTAAATATATCAGTATAATTGTAGGAAAAATATAATAATCTATTTCGTCGGAAAAAGGCTGACAGTAGAGCAACGAATTGGTGTTAAATTTCACGTGCAACGTGGAAAAAACATTACTGCAACTTATAATCCACCGAAATAAGTGTATGAAAATGAACGTTTAACGCGTGATCGTCTGAGTGATTGTGGATATACATCCAGGTCGCACGTTAGCGTCATTTAGAAATTAACGAAGAATGCGTTCAGCAAGCTATACATAACTGTTTACACACGCATAGTGTGTGGAAATTCCACATTGTCTGTCAAGAGTTTCTGCTTTTTTCGCCGTATCTAGCACCGGGTAACTTCCACGTCGTTCGTAAGGTGAAACAGCATTAAAAGGGTCAAGATTTGAGTTTGTTTAAACTGTAAAGAAGAAAAGGCACGAGCCTGAAGAAGCTGACAGAATAAAACCCTCAGCAAACTTTCAAATATTGAAAGATTCGTATAGTTTGTTGTAGAGGTAGAGGATGAGTGTATATATGTGAATAATAAGTAAAAATTTAGGGAATCAGAATAAAATGTTTTCCGTGCCAGTCTAGTTATTTATCTATATTTAAGAGTAATCTGTATGCAATCATAAGAAATTTGTGGACATTGTAGCGCTACCAAAAGAGATATGATACCATCTTCTTCTACCAGTACAATTATTAATACTACAATAATTATTAAGTCATAATAACATATTAAGCGGATAATAACCAATTGCTTAGATACTCTTGACCTTTGAAAAATTACTTTAGGAAAAAAATTTTAGAAATATGAAATTGTTATACAGTGTGTTGCATCAATTTTAAACTTGGTTTCACTGTTAGCAGGATCTCTCGTTGCAAGAATAATGAATAAAATCACCTAAAAACGGTTATACGATAAGAAAGTTGCTGATATCACACAATTGCGCGCGAAAAACCTTCAAAATTACAAAATTATTACAAAAAAGAGCGTATTACAAAATTATCGAGAGATACTAACAAATATACTAGAGAGATGTTAAAACTTAATAGAGAGAGATAAAAATATATTTGGTCCTAGCTCCTGATTGAAACCAGAATGTTTCCGATCGAATTTAATACTGCTTAAAATAACGTCCTGCGTTGCCGGATGTACTATAATTATCGTTTTAACCAATAATTTTAACGTCAAATTTTGTCAATATTTACCAGTTTTATCAAGGAATTGGGGTCACGCAAAATAATAATGATTTAGCTTAGACGATGAATTGAAACAGGATTTTTATCAAAGATGCCGGCGTTTCTTGATTACAGCTTGTATGGAAATAAAAAAGAAATGATTTTGCAGATTCAGTCATGAGTAAGATATACTCTCTAAATAAAAGTAGCTTACAGTTGCCAAAGTCTTTTACCATTAATGACAAAATTTACCAAAATTTGTAATCCTCAAGACCTCCAAACAATGCCAAAGATCGATGACGAATGGAGGAAACTTCAACAATACCAGGATATTCCAATATAAGTTGAAAATCTGGTTGAATTATATTTCTAAGTGGGTCAAATTTAAACGGTAATCCTATAATATTTTTTTATAAGTTTTTTTCTTTTAAACAATTTGTTTGTTTCATTTACAAATAATTAAATATATCAATATAAGGTTGAATGTTCGAATAAATGAATATTATAGAAGCCGGAGACATTCTGTCTCCGGCTTCTATAATATAAAAATGTAGCATTCTGTAGCTATAATATAAAAAAAGCATTCTGTCTCCGGCTTCTATAATATAAAAATGTAGCTTCTCCAATTTAAATTTTAAAGTGTTTGTTTGTCTTTAGTGTATTTGTTATGTCCCAGTTTACATGTATGACATTCGATTATTGCTGGATAGGCCACAATTGACGAAATGCCCCTGAGGATGATCTTGTGATCGAAAGTACTTGGGCAAGATTTAATTAAATACTGTGTTCGATATTTGCCTTGTGTACCATCAAAGTTTAATTAAATATATTATTATTTCTATTTTTTTAATTTCTTGTTCAATATAGTATACGACAATCCTTGCTATAAAATACGATAATTTGAACAACGGCATAAGATTTTCTGACTTCGATGACCTGGCAACGCTGCGTTACAGATATATCTATGAAACGAATTTGTTTGGTGGCCCCTCCTACTAGTTTCTCTTACTTCCTACCGCTAAAAGTGCATACTTACCTTAAATTCTTTCCGATTATTTTCTATTATTGTTCTTATTAATATTAATCTGACTGTTAATTCGGGAATTTATTCAAATAAGTACAGTGTTAACTGACATAAAAGATGATTATATTTTACAAAGATGTCAAGTTTATAAGGTCACCAGCTGTATCTGAAAAACTCACATAAATGTAGAAATGATACATGAACTTAAAAAGTAACCTTCTTGTCTTGGACTTAATATAGGCTAATAATAAAGGTTTGAAGATTATCATCAGCGTAGATACTGCAAAACTAAAGTAGATACTATAATTTTATTTATGTTAAGTACATTATTTTAATTGTAAAATTACTTTCACCTCTTTGCTTTCATCTTTTACAAAATTCTATACATAGAAGAAAATGGGTCTTTTGAAATTTAACATTACATTTTTAAATTGAAATTGATTAAGGGATTATTTTATTGAGCTTTTCAAAGAGACCATTCATATATCAAATAGATTAGAAAAGATTTTAAAAATTTTGATATATGCAATAAAAATCACACTTAGCAATCTCTAAATTGTATATTGTCACCACGGTAAATAAAATCCTATCAAAGTTGTTTAAACCAATGAACAAATTACACTTCTGCGGATTGACGAACGTCACTATCTTTATCAGCCTGAAGTCTTCGTAGGACGGTTTCTAGTCCCTCGCAGTGATCACTGGATAAATCTACGAAGTATACTGAAACATAACAAACATTCAATCAGATTGCGATAGTACAAACTTTATACATACTTATTACAAATAAACAATGGTATCACAAGCTGCTAAAGGTTATAGCGGGATAAGATGGTAAAATCTGCACTCGGCTGAACTCCTATTTGATTTTAGGAACTCAAAAGTACATATTTAGAAATGTCTTTAGCCAAACTTTTAGCTCCCTAGGTGTCCCCAGGGATTTTTCTCGAAAAAACAATTTTTTGCAATAGAGGACCTCTGGGACTACCTAGGGAGCTAAAAATTTGGCTAACGGGATTTCTAAATATGTACTTTCGAGTGTCCAACCCCAAATAGAAATCCAACCGAATGCAGATTTTACCATCTTATCCCGATATAGCCTTTAGAATTATAAATTTTTATAAGTCTTACATTTAAAAGGTAGACAAATTAGCATGGTTTGCCCTATTAATAGCAATCTTTAACAAAATGGCTTCATAACGTGAGTTTTCTGGTTATCGAATATTCTTTGTAGGTAATGTAGGTCGAATGTATGGGACGCTTAAATTATTTTAGAAACTGTCAACAGGTTTCCCTATGGCTGTAATATAATGTGGCTGATCGTCATATGGTATTTGAGTTGTTGTCCTATCTTCCGTTTTCCCGATAATATGAGATAATTTTATTTTTCACACGGACCAACCTATATATTTTATGACTTTTGATCTCCTGAGTAATCTAATATTTTTCATGAAACATTATATCTGTAGCTACTTCCAATTTTTCTTATATAATATGGCCCCCGAACCTAAAATAATTGTACCATAGCGCAGAAAATGCGAACTCAAAGAAAAAACTGCCATTCACATGTAAAATTCAACTAACGTAATAAGACCAAATTTAAAGGTCAAGAACTGACGCAAAAATAAAAACAAGGACAAATGTGAAGTTTTTTGCGAAGTTAAACAAAAATCAGTCAAAGTCATATACATGTTAGCTAATACCGGCAAAATACCCTTATTAACTAAAAATTCAAGCCAAACAATTAGTAATAAATAAATTTGTAGTCGAGGTAAGTAATTTGCAAATAAAAAAAATTAGAAATTTTATTTTGAATTAAAAACTGTAGAGATAAAAAGAGTAGAGAGGGCAGAACTGTTGCAACACTGTTGTTAAAATGCAACACGCCCTAAATGTAGTATCAATATGTACCAGAAAGGTAGGATTATCCTCAAATAAGTCCTTAAAATTCCAAAACAGTAAGCTTCACAAGAAGGAAAAAAGGGCATAGAATCATTAAATCTCAATAGGATTACTCTAAATGTAGAGGTAAAGTATATCTGAGTTACAAGAGATTCTTGATTTACCTAGAACCAATATCTAGAACGAATAACCCAATAGAGTGGTAAGTATTCTTTGGTGGCCAGACGCACTCCGGACATGATGTATTAGATATCAACATGGTGGTTACAACTCACAATAACATATACATCTTTGTATGGTGGTCAAAGGTGCAACAAAGAAGTGCAATCCTCAGGATAAGCAAGAATCAAAGACTTGTTTGCCTCAGAATAACGAGTGCCATGAGAAGCACTCCACTCAGTGGAAATCGTATTGAACTTTCCTCCTTTACATATCATAGTAATAGGAGAATTAAGAAGGAGTTTATATATATTAGTACACAGATGGAGCAGGAGTATACAGTGATGATAGGAACAATCACAGATCAGTACCACTGGGAAAGCGCACATTTGCCTTCCAAATAGAGATCTATACAATCCTGCACTATGCAAGAATAAATAAAATGAGGGCTTCGCAAACAAGCGCATCAATAACTACAAAGACAACCTTGGAAGCTTTAGTCAATCCTAAGATTACATCCAAACTGGTGGGGGAATGTCGTAAAGAACTTAACAACCCAGCGGAACGCAACAATCTAAATCTTGTTTGGGTACCAGGCCATCAAGGAATAGATGGCAATTAAAGAGCCGATACGAAGCCAGAAGGGGATCGCCAACCAACAAGATACTTCGGCCTAGCACAGTTTCTAGATGTACGAAAAAGCACAATCAGAAACCCAATAAGAGGCTGGATTCCAAGAAAACAAAAAGAACACAGAACAAATTCCTACACAAGCTCATGGGAAGAGTATCATAACTCAAACCTGCAAAAAAAAGGTCACAGAACTGCGCAAAATGAATAGGTAGCAGCTCAAAATCATCGCAGGATTATTAACTTCACAAAAGAACATCTGAATATGATGGGACTAAACATCCAAGGTCTAAGCTGCACATTATGCAACAAAGAGACTGAAACATATTTTATGCGACTACAAGACACTGATCGCAGTGTCGGAGGGTAAAAACCTTTTGGAATAGGTAAATGGGAAGAAAATGGAAGTCAATAAAGGTTGCAGTACTTTGCGTCAGTATTCTCTGTCGCACACTGGGGGAACGGGCTGGTATTGCAACGATCAGTCTATCTTGTATTAAATGTCTACGAAAATAACCAAATCTGTCTTCTAACACTTGTTTTAAATTATTTTTTCTACTCTCCTACTAGTAAATTGTATATTACCTACTATTTGGATGCTAAGTAAATGCATCATAACAGATACTAACACGTAATGACTAGCACGTAATAAAAAAATTACGCTTCAGTTTTATAAAAATGTTTAATATCACATAAGCCTCGTAAGTCGGTTGGTCGAGTTACCATGGAAACGAGTTAACAGACGCTATTTTGACAGATTAAAAATTATTAATCTGTCAGTGTAAATATAGTGGTAATTTAATTTTTATTTTTATAAACGAAAATAATCGTAGAAAAAGTATAGTACACATTTTGAGTTGTAAGCTTATTACATGCTTGTAAAATTACTGCACTCTCCGCTACGCGGCTCGCGCGCAACTTTTTTACTCGCATGTAATAAGCTTCTTACAACTCTCGTTATGTAATATACTATTACAGTCCTTGAACACCAATACTAAAAACACAATTAATTTATAATATTTACTTAACCGTACAAATTTATTTTATCGACAGACTCTAAAATCTAAATTGGTCTTTATAAGTTCGCCAGCGGTAGCTTCTTAGAACATTCGGTCAGTGACGTAGCACGCGAGCTGACTTAGCAGTATGTTGATTTCTATTTTTCACGAGAAACATTTTTTTATACTATGGCATCACTTAGATTTCTTATCGGTTCATGGTATCGGCTTTTAAAACAAGACATTTTAAATGGAAAATACATAAAAGCTTACGTTAAGCATCAAATAAAAAGCTTTGTATATCAATCAGTGACTGAAGCAGAATTCATTGATTGAAATTTCAGATTCGTAAAGGTCCTAAACTCTTGCTACACTATTACAAAATTATGTTAGTTTAGTTCAATTCATTCAACTTATCGGTAGTATCAAAATAAATGATAATTTTAACATTTAATACTCACATACATCTATTTTTGAAGCCGTTATATTAATTATTAGTGAATGATATATAAAAAATATTCAGAATTACTTAACAAAAAAATATACCGTGATTTATTTGAAAAAGTTTGTTACATATATGTCGGGGAAAACAGAAGATCTGACAACAACGCAAACATATAAAGATAGGTTATATTAGAAATAGGTTATAAAAACAAAATTATCCTGTTAGCCGTTTCTAAAATAATTCAAACGTTCCATACATTTGCCTCAAGTCATATTGATTCATAAAATATGTACTTATATGATTTAAGAAAATACTTACAATTATTTAAAATATATCTAGATAGGCATCTGGCTACTACCAGCCGAACGTTGGCAACTGGATCCCAACTTAGATCCAACAGGTGTGGCATAACTTCCGAAACGAATTGTTCTGGTTCTAAGGCCTCTTCTTTCAATATTTCTATGCACATTAGACAAAAAGTCTGTCTACGTTTCCATTTCTTCGAATGAGCAAATGTTTCAGCTAACTTTATTAAAAAACCTGGCGTTAAATTCGGTTCTGAAGATGTATACGAAATTATTTCTGTAACCTGCAAAAATTAAAATATAACCTCAAAAATTTTCAGCAAGAAATAATAAAATTCCATCAGCTACAAAATCAAGATTTTTGGGACAGGGTAATATTTAGAGATGAGAAAATTTTTCAATCTTCTAAAAAAGGAAAAATTGGGGTGTATAGACGAGATAATAGATTTAGCCATTTTAGCGCGGATGGATTTAATCTAAAGGAATAGGAATGGTATGGCGTATTGATAGAAGGTTTTCTGGACAGACTTATCTGAATATTCTAGAAAACATCATGTTTCCCAGTGTAAAACAGTTGTATCCAGAAAATAATTTTATCTTTCAACAAGATAATTTATTGTCCTGTTCACACTGCAAATATAATAAACCCGTGGCTCCACAATAACAACATTAAAACGTTACCATGGCCCACCTACAGACCAGATTTAAACCCAATCGAGAATGTGTGGGGGATTATTATGGAACGGTTGTATCGGCGTAATTTTATATCTCATAATGCTGAAGAGCTGGGGCACGGTGTACAACAAGTTTGGGAAGAGCTATCTGAAGAAGACAATTTCATAGTTCCTTTCAAGCAGATGGACCGAAGACTACAAACTGTTATCAATACTGATGGAGATATTACAAAATATTAAGTTTATTTTTACATACCTAAATTTAGTATAGTTGTGGTCTTGCAGACCCTCGCTTTCTTTCGAGAGTTTCTTGTTTCCTTAATTTTTTATTAATATAAAAACTGTGGCTGCGCTTTTGTTACAATGTTTTGTTTTTTTTTTTGTTTTATTCCCTAATAATAAAGATAATACGGAGGAAGATATAAAACATAGACTAGGACAAACAAGAGACTGCATACGAAAATTGAATCCGGTACTATGGGATAAGGACATCAGCATGAAAACAAAGAAAAAAGCATATCATACCATGACAAGAAGTATCCTCACTTATGGGTGTGAAAATTGGACAATAAATAAGAAAACAAAAAACAAAATAAGAGCAACAGAGATGGAATTCCTAAGGAGAAGCTGCAGAGTAACAAGAAGAGATAGAATAAATAACAGAGGATAATGGAGATTAAGACTAGAATGGGAATGAACTCCGACATAATAGACTACATCGAACAGAAGAGGTTAACCTGGTACGGAGATGTCAGAAAAGCAGACCAAAATCAGAGCAGAAACCTATAGGAAGGGGACTGGCTAAACAGGAAAAATTGGAGAAAGCGGTTGAGTGAAGGAATACAGTGAAAACTGTGGAAATCTTTGTATATATATATAATAAAGATAATAACAACAACCATATTTTATGTAAAAACTATCATTTATATATTCTTTATAAAATGCAGGAATGCAATATAACATCAAAATTTAGACATTAATAATTATTACAATTTATGAATTACCATATGGTATCAATTGTTTGTTGAGTGTTTGTTTATTTTATTATTTGTCTGTCATGATAAATATAATATAATGTCAGACCAATCAAATACACTGTTCAAAATGATCAAATCTTACTAAAAGTCGTATCAGTTTTTTTAGGAACCAGCTGTACATCTAAAATATACTTACTAATGCTAAGGCGGCTTCTCTTACTGCGGCTACTTTATCATATAATAAAACGATCGCAATTCCACCGACGTGTTTAGAAATATCTGCTGGTTTAAATAATTCCATCAACTCTAACAATTGCTTGGCTAATTCTTCTCTAAATCTCCAATTCCACTCATTGTCGGTTTGTAAAAATTCTACTAATCTAGGTAAATACACGATCCTCTTGGCCGGATTAATAACTTTTAAAAAGGCAGCTAAATGTTTTAAAATTTCTAAAAATTACAAATTATATTACAAATATATAAATGATTATTTGACTTTTCGACAAAAGATATTGGATTTATACGACTGATTATACTAACTATAAAGATAACATAGTAAAGATTGTGTTACAGCACTTAAGGTAAAATGAATGCTGTATGGATAAATATAATCCAATGCACCATTTTTCAATTAAAAAGTTAATAGACAAAATCGAACATAATAATTAACAAAATTAATAAAAGTGAATACTATCTGAACGGAAGTAAATATTTCCCCGAGAATCATTAGTAGATTCTGTAATACAAGAGCATCAAGATAAGCTTAAAATCCTCCATTACTTCCCAAATTCCAAACCTGTAAAACTTAGCCCACAATTTGTCAAATTTATTCATGCCATACAAGAAGATTTAAGGTACTCGAAATATGCATTATGCATATCTATCTTTTACTGATATTCTCTACATATTTTATATAATATAAGGAGCACGGAATTTTTTAAAATAAAAAATACATACCTATTCTGACTTCATCCAAGTCTTTAATAAAGCCTTCAAATAATTGAGTTAAGCTATTCGTAGCCATTTCGGATCCTAGTATGATGGCTAATTCATGTAAACTGCTAGCTACTGTTCGTCTAACTTTATACTGTATATCTCCGGCAAGGGTAAAGACCGTGTCTTCAAGTAAATGCCAATTTTCGCTACCTAATGTTAAAACTACCGCTGGAAGAGAGTATGCGCAATGGTATGCCATTTCATATTCTATGTTAAGAGATAGCATTGGATATGTCATTGCTATGTAGTGATCAACTAAAATTTGCGGTACTATTTTCTGTGGTGGTTCTTGCTTCTCCGCAACACTATTTTCATTTGTACCTAGAGAAAAAATAAATAAAACACTTATTCTTACTTTACAAGGTGTCATAAAAAGATACCAGGACTAATCTTAAAAAAATTGTTGTTTAGCTTTTCCAGCAATTTTTAACAAAACTTTGTCCATTCAAATATATCTCTGAGTCTGGGAAACAAGAAAAAGTGCACAGGTGTTAAGTCTGGTGAGAAAGGGGCTAAGAGAATACATCATAAACAGCTTTTCAAATCTCTCCCAAAAAACGGAGAATTTTTCAAATGCTTGTTTAAAAAATTTCCCGGAGACGAAATTGAAGAAAGGAATATTTATAAAGAATAATATCAAAAGATTTCTAGCATATCAAGAGTTTACCTACACCACGTCAGACTAACAGAGAGCAGGATAGTTCGCATTGTACAAAAATATAATTTGTTATGCAAGCGTTTTCAAGATCTTGGGATATCTCAGAGCCTAAAGCTACATTTACTCCACTCTCATCTGGACTGTTTTCCTCAGAATTTGGTGGCAGTGCCGTTTCCAAGGAGAACGTTTCCATCAAGATATGAAGGAGGTAGAAAGGAGATATCAAGAAAAATGGGTACAACAATGATAGCAGACTACAGCTGAATGCTTTAAAATAATAAACAAGGCTTCACATATTTTTATATGCATTACCTTTGTCTTTCGAATATCCAAATCACAAACCACATAAATCAGTTAAAATTATCAAAAGAGCTTTTCAAAAAAATGTTTGTCGACCTTTGTTATCAACCGAACGGTCTGTCACTCGGACGAACCTTCATCTCACAAGCATTACCAAAAATTTGTACATGGACTGCTAAAAAAAATTATTATCGGCGCCTGTATTGACCGGGTTACGAACCAAGTTTATTTACATTCCGACATAACATTTTATTGTTAGGGAATAACGTTCTATATTCGTTGGTAAAACTCGGGCATCCGGTTCATTTTTATCTATCTTTAAAAAATTGACAGAAGGATTCAAATAGACAGCAGCCGCAAAGTGGTGTCATCTATACGTGTCAAGTAGATTACATATACGAAAAAATATTAAAACGAGTTGAATTACTTCCTTAAAACGTACACAGTTTACACAACGTACACAAATTAAGGAAAATGATACTAAACAATTTATATTATACTTACCATCGTTTGTAACATCACTTTCATCTATTGAAATTGTTGAATTATTATTATCAGATTTACTTCCTTCAGCAGAATTGTTTTCCAAATGCTAAAAATGTATTATTTGAAAAAATCTGTCATCGTTTTACGTTATTAAATTAGACACATTTTAAATAAAAAAGTCTATAACTTTGATTTTTAAATAAAATACATTAATTGTGTGGTCGGCGGACATAGCAGACAAGTCAATTTTTGAGAAAATTTTTGTATTTATTAAAATCACCTAAAAAAATTATCTACCGCTGGAATAAAAAATACAAGTCAAATGTTATACCTGTGGTTCCCTATCAAATAGTGATTTTTTCATACTCGCAATTTTATCCATTTTAGAGGCGAGACGTTGGACCGACGACATCAGGCGTATCACTAAAAATTAGCAACAAAGAGCACAAAATCGTGAGGAATGGAGGAGTTTAAGGGAGGCCTATGCCCAGCAGTGGACGTGATAAATAGAGGCTGGATGATGATGAGAGGCGAACTTAACCAATCTAGTCCTTTTACCTATCTGTTTTAGATCGGCGCAGAGAAATTGCTGACTAGCGAAAAGACTGAGGAAGTTATGAAAAAAGGATATGTAAATGATTCATTCAATTTGTAATTTCGGTATTGATTACATCGCGCTTCTCACGTTTCTTATCACTTTCAATGTTTTCGTTAATATTATACCGTGTGAAATGTATAAGTATGCACGTATAGAAGAACAAAGCACAAGGAAACGCAAAGCTGAGAAGAAATTGGAGCGAAATTTAGTAAAAGGTTATCTTACGTTAGAAGGAAAACCAATACGTTCACGCAAAGCCAAAGTATTAAGCTCATGCCAAATGAAATGTTATGAAAAGAGTTAAAAAAGTGTTTTGATGAATATTAGGGTTTAGGTTCGTAATCAAAGAGAGCAACATACATGGCATCTCTTATTCAAGTGAAAGAACCTGCTTCACATCGACCAAGAACAATGGATCTGAACAAGGTTAAATGCAGGACAAAATTTTTGTTTTATTCTCTTTTTATAAACGGAAATAAGGAGCCTTATTTCCGTTAGGAGAAATAAGAACATTTTCGATGAAAGCAAAAACTTTATTTTAACTATCGCCAATAAGATACAATCTACGATCGCAGGTACTGATGTAGAAGATAAAAGAGGAAAGACACCAAAACGAAAATTAGTGAAGAAAAACGAATAGACATAAAAAAACATACTTTCATTTCTACTGTACGAAAGTCACTATTCATGAAAGCACATTTCGAAGAAGTAACACCTGCGCGGTATTTGTATACTGCTATCTGGTCACAAATGACCAATTATCAGTTATTTTCTGACCTAACATAATAACAGCAAATACTTAAATCTAAGGGCTTACCCTATGGCTTACTCTTATTTTATCTATTAAATAATGCACTACAACTAGCATGCAATAACTTCACAGCACTATACTCTGCTTTTTACACTAAACTGTTACACATTTACACTAGCTCAAATGGTTTTGTCCTTATGAGTCTTCTCTTTAGTTCAGTGTTGTCAAGAAGCTGGATTGCCTCGACATTCACATGACTATGCAGCCTCTGCTCGTGACTTGCTGCTGTTCTCTTGATTATTTCGATCACAGTTTCCATACCCAGGTCCTGGTGGAGGTTGCTGTTACGGATATACCAAGGAGCATCAACAATGTTTCTCAGTACTTTATTTTGAAATCTCTGGATAATAAGTAGATTACTAGCTTTGGTACAGCCCCAGAGTTGGCACCCATATACCCATACTGGCCTCAGTACTTGCTTGTAGATGGATAATTTATTATGAATTGACAATGTTGAATTTTTTCCAATCAGCCAATACAATTTCTTATATCTAATATCAAGCTCCCCTCTTTTCTTTTTGACATGGACTTTCCAGCGCAGCTTCGCGTCTAGGGTGATGCCCAAGTATTTTGCTGATGTTGTATAAGGAATTCGTGTATCATTTATTCTAACTGGGAAATTTTCTATTTTTTTATTTGTAAAGTTAATGTGTGCAGATTTAGTCTCATTTAATTTTATTCGCCATTTTCTAAGCCAAACTTGAAACATGTTTTACCTACGATAAATTTATTATGCAATTAAAAAATTTTACAAATGACCAGAAAGAAAAACTCTATTTAGACCACAAATCCCACTAAATGGAAGCTGATCAAGCGGATGATGAACAAAGGAAAGATAACAAAACTGCTAAAAATACTACCAACACCAGATTTAAAATCATCTGTTGCATTTTATAAAAGACAGCTATGGATGTTTAATTTAACAGTTCGTGATAACAGTACAGAGAAAGTTGTTTGTTACATGTATGAATTTGTTGAAGGTAGAGGGGCAAATTAGATACATCTTGTCTGTAAAAACACCTGCAAACAATCGTACCACCTGAGACAGAAAAATTAATTTATTATTCAGACACATGTGGGGGGACAAAACCGTAACTCTCATGTATCTGCCATGATTACATGGGCATTGAATAGATCCTCATCTAATATTAAGCTAATAGATCATAAGTTTATGGTACCACGTCACACTCACTTGGACTTAGATACTGATCACAGTATAAATGAGAAAAAAAAGAAGAAAACTGACATTCAAATATTTCACCTCATGACTGGATGCAACTTGTACGTTCAAGCAGCTCTAAATTCACTGTTATGAAAATGTCACAAACAGACTTCTTTGATTTCTCATCTTTACTTAAAGGTTGCATTTTACTAAAAAAAAAGAGACATTAATGGTCGTCAATTCCGATGGCTGGACAAAAGATGGCTTCCACATATGAAAGACTTGACAATCTTTCAATTCATTGACAGCCTTAATAGAAAAGACCCATTTAAGACTATTGATTTCAATAGAAGAGGGAATCAACTACCTTCGGAAGTTCCAATTATAACTAATCAACCAGTCCCTATTTCTAGAGAGAAAAAGTAGACATTATTTCGGCACTGCCTCTAATTCCTACCTTAATTTACAGTTTTTATCAAGGTTTGCATATGATTGCTACAACTTAAAATACTCACCCCGATCTTGTAAGCGATGATGAAGAAATAAATGAATTCAAACTTTATGCTTTGTTCTTTTAATGGTTATTTCGTAATTTATACTTATGTTTTTTTATTTTAAAATTTACACTTCATTTATACCTTATTTATAAGATAATAAAGTCAATAAAGAAAAACGTACCTAATTGGACACGTCAATCAAAATCCAAAATTTATAACATTTATGTTGTTTTTAACTTTTATTGTAATACATATATCCTATATCCATAATTTAAAAAAACTGCATTTACTCATGCATTTAGTTTTAAAATAGTTTTTATCACTTCCTGAAAAAACTCAACTTTGGACTTGTCCGCCGACCACACAATTATTAAAATTTAAATATTTCTTACGAAATAATAGTAAAATTGAATAACTTTTTTATGTAAATTTATTTTTCAGTGATTTTCCAATTTTTCCGAGAGATAAAAAAGGTCTTATTATTTTCTCGAACTGTCTCAGTTTAAAAAAGAATGAGAATGTTCTGCGTGCCATAGAAGCCGAGATATAGCTCGAAAAGTTCACCTCTCCATTGTGGCGATATTTTACGAGTACGATCATTTTAACTGGTTAAACTTTTTAGACCTTCTCTGTTAATACATCTATAAATTGGATCATAAAATCTAGATCTGCTTCATTTTTAATCTGTTCAATTTTCAGCTCTTAATGTTAACTATTAAAGTAACCAATGACAATATGATTTTAAGGAAAAACTACTATCTTGATTCCTATTGTTCATAGAAGGTTCTTTTTAAAAAATTGTGCTTTTTCATCAGCTTTTCAGTAAACCTACTTTCAAGCCTATGACACAAAAATTATCAAAGTTATTATAAATGTTTATTCTAAAAGGTCGGCCCTTTTTCAAACGGTTGTTTAATTAAAAATTTGACAAAATATTGATTTTTTAATGTCTTAAAATTGAAGCCTCAAAGAATCGATTGCGATCTGCTAAATAAATCTACTATTAGTCACTGTTTGGGCAAGTACATTTCTTTAAATAATCGCTCTCCGGAATCAACAAATTGAATAACTTAAAAACTATTTTTTCTTAATTTATGTAGTAATGCCATTATACCAAAAACAAAGTTATTAACATTTATAAATTACTTCAAAAATAAGGGTTTCGTTTATTAATCTCTGTAAATTATTTATGTATTTTAATTTAGAAACTTGCAAAATTAAAGATCTACAACTTTTATTTAAACTATTTTTCTTTAAATGGTTTAAGAATCGTTTTATAATAATAGGCAAAAATAGTCATTTAGGTAACAAGTTACGATAGTGATATTTTACGAGATGAGTAGGAAGTTTCCAGGGCGAGCCGTAGGCGAGTTCTGGAATCCTGCGAGTCTCCTGCGAGTAAAATTACTTTTGGATCGTGTTACGTACAATATTTTTTCTGCAGACGTTTTGTATGTTAAAAAGAATATATGGATAAACTTTACTTATGAACTTTTATTAAACACTTTAAAGTTACTTTCGTGAATTCAACATTAGAAAAATCTACTTATGAATATTAATAACACAATTATTTACATTGATATTGTTAGGAATATTAACAGAAGTGGCAGTATTGAACATACACGAAAAACAGCGAAAACACACGAATCTTAAACGACAAGCGTTGTCATAATAAAATACAAAGTTGATGTTATTGACAAAGTCGTTACCTAGCTACCCAAAATCGTCACGAAAGTAAAAAAATTAGTCCCGAAAGTAGCTACTATCGCTACGAGTTGTGTAAAATTGTACTTTTGATTTAATAAATCATACCGAAAGGTTTAATGATTTTTTCACTTGATTCACCATGATTGTAAAAAAAACAAAGCAAATAGATGTTTAGTCCAGTCGTCAGACAGTTGACCCCTAAAAATCAAACGAACAGCTGAATTTTGCAGAGAATATTCATTTTGGGATCCCAAATAAAGATGCAAAAAGGTTTACTACGTTTACCCCGGGCTTCCCCATAAAAACTGCACGAGGGGGAGTAGAAACACAA